GATGATTTCTCACTAGGATCGTAGAAATTCAACAAAAAAATTTAAACATAAATCTGATTTGCCTCCGAGTAAAATAATTTTAATTTAAAATAAAAATTTAGGTTTAATTAATTAATCTATAATAATATTTTGTAATGTAGTTATGACATAAATGAATTACTAACATATAAGATTCGGTAAAATGTCGTATATAAATTCAATTTGATGACAACTGTCAGTGTCAATTGGTATAAATTAAAATTTAACTAGCATTTATTTATACATTTTGTCAGTAATATGTAATTGCTAGTTGTAACTACGGATATTATTAAACCCGATTAATATTTACCGGTAACTGTAAATGTAGACAGTGTAAGCACAATAATGATATTATAACTTTAAATTCTTTGGAACACGACATAAAACACTTATTTTCAATAAAATAATAGAGTTCTAAAAGAAAATATTAAGTATTTTTTATTATATATATTATAAACCATATTTGTTTAATAGTGCAACAAAAACACAATAAAAATTATTATATGAAAATATACGAAATATAATATAAATAAAATATACGAAATAAATAAATATAAGAAATGGTTTACCTTTGTGAACAGAAACATCAGAAATATCAGCACGCGCCGTTATGCCATTCAAAAATTATGACTATGACAACTAGGGTGTTCCAAAATTGACTGCCAGTACTGAAAATCTATAATTTATATCACAAGCACTGTAGGTTTTCAGTACTGACAGTCAATTTTGGAACACACACCTAGTAAACGGACGGCGACTACAACTACAAGACGGCTGCTAACGGCATTAAGAAACATCACCTAAGTGTATCCAGATATTTTTTTATCCTTTGTTCAACATTCAGTGAACAACAGAAATAAAATAATATATCAAAATATATCTTGAATTTTCGAATCCGCCCGCTTCGAAGAACGATCGATCTCTTATTAAATGAATCGATCTATCTTAAAATCGGATACTGACGAATCGATTAAAAAATCGATCCTTTTTTGCAAAAAGATCGATCTTTTAAAAGATCGGATCGAGATCGCACATCCCTAGGTCTCAGCACGTATTCGGAATACATAATATATTTATAATATATATGAGATTTTTGTTACGGATTTAAAAGAGGAAAAAAAGCGAGGAATAGAATAAGAATTAAAAGTGATAGAATTGTGAGGCAAGATAATGAGTCAGGAATATACAGGAAAGTTAGAGAGGAAATTCTGTGCAAATAGGCGAAATAAATTAAAGTAGAGGCAAGAAGAAAATAGTTAGAAGAAAAGGTGGATGTATTTATAAGAATTGGACTAGAAAATGAAGTTCAGATAAGGAAGGGCAACAAATGATAATAACGTTGTAATAAGGTACTTAATGTAAAGAAAAAAGGAAAACGGAAACAGGAGAAAGGAAAGTTCACAGGCTGTTTTGTGATATGAGGCGGTGTGAGATACAAGTGATGAGAGGCAAGTTAGACATTCTAAGGAGATTCGAATAAAGAGGACGAAGCACAAGGAATGGAGAGGAAGACGGAGGCAAGGACACACGAAGAGTTCCTAGACAAGAATATGCATGAGGCAGGAAAGCATCAAATATAGATTAATTTTAGATATAGATATAAATTTAGATTTTAGTTATGGATTTAAAAGAGGAAGAAAAGCTGCGAGGAATAGAATAAGAATTGAAAGGGACAGAAAATGTGAGGCAAGGTTATTACACATTTGTCAGGAATATACAGGAAGGTTAGAGAGGAAATTTTGTATAAGTAGTTAGACGAAGTAAATTATAATAATAAAGAAAAAGTGAGTAATGCGTGGCTAAGTTAATTTATTGAGCGAGATGTAAGATTATGAGTTGGAAATACAAGAAGACTAGTGAAGACATTTTTAATTAGTTGACGACGAGAGGAAAATTGGGCCGTCGGTAGGATGAAATATATGGAGTCAAAAATAACAGATTAAGAAGGTAATAGGTAAGAGAAAAAAGGTTTTAAAGTATAATGCTAATAGATGAATGAAGACTAGTTGATTAAATTAGGATACAAAAAAGAGAAAATAGGCGCGAGAGCAAGATATAAGGATGGATGTGTGAGGATAGGTTGATAAATTGTAAACAAAGTCCCATTCTTTGGCTATTGAAGGTAATAAAGTTCTATCCTTCTATATTTATATGTAATAATACATAAATATATAATTGCTGTATAATAAATTTATAAAATTTAAAAATATATTATAGTCATAAAAACAAATAATGCTGCCAATGATTAATCTCTTTGCTTTGAAAAATTTACATGTAACTAAAGACTAATGTGATTGTACAGGTCACCGTGTGCGCGCAAAGTCTTTGCAGGTTATGTTAAAAGCCAGCGCGATGATCAGCTGATCGAGTTACTGAGCTGTCGAATTCGTCATGATAGGAAGCAGTGGGTGCGTTCACGAGAAACGAACGCAAAATCTCACGGAAAATTGAAAACTATACGTCATGATGTTAATGTAATAGCAGTATGTAATTTTCTATTATTATTCTGCAGCCTTCAAAGCACGTGAGCCTTCAAAGTTTGTGAAAAATAAATATTACTTATGAACAAATATTACGCATTCAATCCTTCCGGAGAAAATAAGATGTCTCTTCTCGCTTTTTCTCGCGCGCGAAAGAAAAGAATTAACGCCTTTAACCAACAGCGAGCGAAATCGCACAAGTCACGACTCAGCGATAAACAAATTGGCGGGTCCTTACCGGTCAGATGAATTTGACGTGCTTACAGTGGTCGTTCCACGACTAACGTTCCTATTAATACTGCTATACTCGCTCCTGATTCTCGAGGAATCGACAAATACAAGCTGTAACGACTCGTGGATCACTGGAAGACTCGTTTCTTTTGCGTCAGCCGATTTTGATTCTGCGAGCAACATTAGTAACATCAGCGAGATCCGTTAACGACACTTTCGATAGATACTCCGAACCATATTGCTCCGAACTAAAGCCTCGTTTACATAGAACTTAGAAGTATGATCGTAGATGCAGTCGCAATTTTGAAGTCGCCCAAAGAATAGGAAGAAGAAGAATGGAAGGCTTGCGACCCAGCAGAGAGAATCAAAGGAGAGTGGATGCACCGGAAGTCGCCATTTATAGTTCACCGTTTGATAACTTGCGGGATATTTCAAATTGAAATGCATTCGGGCAAAATGCTATTAATGCTATTTGTATAATTTTCATATCTTTATCATCTTTTTAAACATAAAATAAGGATAGAATGACACATATGGCGCTAATAATATCTTTGTGAACCTAACCTTGAAGTCCTGGTAACATATAGATACATTTGCATAACATATATACAAATTTGTAATTTGTTTATTTATTGCTTATTCAAGACTTAGGCTGCGGTCGAGTTGCCACTACGAATGCTTTGAAGCGTTTCTTGATTGGTCAATTTGTAAACTTATTTATATATTTATATAAACAATATTGTAAAAAATATTTAAATAATTAGAGTATCAAGGCTAAAGAACTAAGTCAGTTGTTAACACTGAAATATATTTCAGTGGTTGTTAATGCTTACAATTATATTACAAAAGTGAAAATAAAAATAAACATTTATTATCAAAAATAAACAGACATTTCGACCTTTTTATATCAGGTTCACAATTTGTGACATCTTCAGTGTCACAAATTAACTTAAAATTACATACGAAATTGGTTAACAGAAATTGTGTTATAATATCCACATTCTGAACCGTACATCAAATTCTTCCGAACGTAATGTACGTATTTATAAAATAAGGTTGATGCAACTTCGATGGTGTGATTCTCTAATTGTTGCGATTAAAGAAATGTGTTGTGTAATCGGCAGATTTCTGTCTTGATTGACCATTTAGTCAATAATATAATATAATTCCCGTGAAAAAAAATATATATAGATTTAATATAATTAAATATAAATTTTATTAAAATTTAATATAATACTTATTAACAATTCCAATAAATGTGGTTTTATTAAAACCTTATATAGATTTAATTTGGACCATATAATGATCCATATTAAGTTATTAATTCAACTTATTAAGACCTTATTAAAACTTATTAAAACTTGTTAAGACCATATTAAAACATATTAATTCAACTTATTTAAAACTTATTAAGATTTAATTAAATATATATAAATTGAACATTAATAAGATTTAATAAGGACTTATTAAACTTAAATAAGTTTATAATATAAGCTATATTAAAAATATATATTTATTTATAAGGTTATATAAAGACTTTATAAATTCTTTATATGAATTTTGATGAATCTTTATAAAGAACTTATAAGACTTTTATTTAGAATATATAAATTTTTTTTTCGCGGGTTGTAAGCATTAACTGGCTTGGTTCCTTAGCCATTGTTACTCTAATTATTTGAATTTATTTGTTAGAGTCTTCATTAAAATTCATGTTGAAGAAAAAATTTATTTTACGTACGTTTTATTTCCAACAAAATGCCTAAAGCAAAGAAATTTTAAGACATATATAGATAAATATGCGATTATTTTAACTAGTACTTTGTATTAAATTATTTCACTTTGGCAATATATTTAAATGTATTTAGAATAGTGTACTAAAGAATGGTAAAATATGCATTTAGATGATTAATGAATAATTATATATTGTGTATAGGTTTATACGCATCTTCAAAATTGAGCTAATTTAACAGAGAGTTATTAGATAACATTTTTTAATGCAATATTATTTTATTATAAAACATTAGACATACACTTAACAGCAAAATTAAATCATCACCTATCCTGTCCTTGAGTTATTCAATTTAGAGTAAAAAGGACCATTTTTGCTTCAATGTTGAATAACTCGGTGAAAAAAATCGTATAGACCTCAATAAAAACACAAATTAAAGGTAAGGATTCACACTTTCGAATGCTGTAAATCAATTTTTATGCGATTTTTAATTCACACTAAGGAATAATTCGATATACATAAATTAAATATCAAATGCGGTTGAGTTACAGCTACGAATGCTTCGAAGCATTTGATTGATCAATCGGAAGAATGAATTTTACTAATTAACCAATCAACAAATGCTTCGGAGCATTAAGATTCTCTGCATGAAGTGTACAGTTGTAGCATGATTTTGCAGTTTTACCTAAAAGAAAAAAATTTACATAAAATATAAGTTACATGATGCTATGTAATAAATTTATTAATAGTTGAAAATATTATGGAAATAAAAAATATGTTACATATGATTATTCTAGGAAAAAGAAATATAAAAAGAATGGATAAATATTTATTACAAATAGTTTTAATAACAAAATAAAATTACAATTACAACTATAATTAGAGGTTTCATTAGTAGTAAAATTGCAGGTTTTGTAACAGAACAAAAGTGAACATGTACGAACTATTCGAATACCATGTGAATCAAGTTATTCATATTTGAATAGTTCGCACATCTTTAAACGAAGAGTAAGAATACAGTTCGCACATGTTTAAACGAAAAATAAGAATAAAATTTGCACATCTTTAAACGAAAAATAAGAATAAAATTCACACATTATTTCTCACATCTTTAAACGAAAGATAAGGATACAATGCATTAATATAAAATAAATTTTAATATAAAAAATTTGCGCAATAATGAAACAAAAAATAAAATTTTCAACTATGTACTATTATGATATGTTTCGTTTTTACGCTTATAACAATGTAAGCATCATTTGTCCAAGTTTAATATTTAATAAACAACAAGAATGAAATTATACTTGCAGCATGTGAGCGTGATTACGAAAAGCACCCCTAGTATCATAATTATTGCACATTTGAATCATTTGTTTTACATATCACACATTTCGAAAATTAATGAGTACATACATTCGAAACCATGACCGCTCACTGAGCAATTATGCTTCTGGATGCATTTAATATAAGCATCAGCTTGTCGCTCCAATAAAAACGAAAAAGAGATCACTTAATATTATGCATAGCCATTGTCTTGCTTCCATAATACTATCTACGTTTTTGAACACGTATCTTTCTTGGATTTATTTTCAGTCTAAACGTTATCAATCTTTTCATAATATTATCTTTTAAATTATGATATGGTGGTACAAAGAAAGGAACGTTTTGACATTTTGACAATAAGAATTATCTTTTATTGTTACTTATACAATCTTTAATATATGAATAAAATATTTTTTCCATTTCAATAAAAAAATTAAATGTTCGATCGTTCACAAAAAATAGTGTATCGGATTTATAACATCTTAAAGATGTTAGAACATTGTAATCACGGATATTATATTTATAATTACCTAAAGAGGATATGCATTTATTACAAGTTTTTACATTTTTTTGTAATACTAGAAATTATGTAGCCGCTTATGTGATGTAAAATGTTTAAATCTACATTAGTTAATGGAATTATATTTCTTTGTACATTTTCTTTTTCATTTTCAACATTGAATGAACTGTTTTTTCTTTTTCTAATTTCTTGGATTGTATTTAAAAAGTCAAGTAAATAATTGCCATCATCATACGAATAACTACTACTAGACACTTCTTCATATAATGAGAAATAGCGACTAGTCTCAAATTAGTTTTAAATTGAATAGCATTCAATGTCAAATTTTTTAAACGTAAAACTGAAAATAAGTTTTCATGCAGTCTTGAGTAAAGCGGCTTGTTAAAACAAAACTGTAATTCTTTTTTTCAATTAAATAAATAGATAACTCTATTAATGATTTAGTTAATAAAATAAGGCCTTTTTGAAATGGTTTTCAGGTACAAGTATTACCAAAATTTATATCTCTCATGAGCTCAATAAACTCATTAAGAAAATTCATAGTGTCAATAAATTGTTTCTCATTTTTCTTACTTATTGCAATAAACATATTTCTTGAAGAAACAATTTTAAACCATCGAGCCAGTTAGCCATGTAGCCAGTTAGCCAGGCTGTTGTTTTATATTCTGATTTGGAACATTCTACACTTAAAAACTGTAGTGCTGTACTGACTTCATGGCTTAAAACATTACTAGCACTTGGAATGCGCATTTTTTGGAAATGTTTATTTCGATCTAAATAATCATCTTTTAATTTTGGAGCTAGTAAAAAATCTGTATTTTTTTGTTTTTCAAGTAATTCATAAAAATGTTGACTATTAGCTATATTTGAAGGTAAGTTGTACTTTTTAACAAAGCTATCTGGAATCGTAATTGTTTTATGATTCAACATTCCTTCTTTAAAATTTTTTAGACCGTGAGAAATATCGTGAAAGAAATACAAATATCTATCATTGTGAAATGGATGTCTGTATTTATTTTGTATAGCGGAATGTCGAGAGACATTGATATCAAATGTTCTCCACATGGCTTGGTTTGGAACTCCCATATCGGAAACAATACCGTGGATATTTAAACCTATACTTTCTGCTTTATTTATAATTTCTAGAATTATTGTTTTAAATATACTTCCATTAGTGCTATTTCCTGTAAAATAATATGCAATAATTTGTTTCGAGCGATGAGATATACCTACTAACATAAAAACTAAGCCATGTGTAGCAAGTTCTTCATTATTGTGATCTGGTAATGTAACATAGTCAATATCGTTACCAACACTAGCATCATACTGAATACCTGCAGTTATATTTATTTCATCTAAAACAATTAAACAATCTCTATCTCTATCAGTCTTAAAACAGTTTATTTTTAATTGTAAAAATTCAAAAATTTCATCTGATATACAGCTTATAAATTTCCAACCCTCTAATTTTTCATTTAATGTTCTTAATGAGGGTAATGGAAAGCCTTGACTTAGTAAATCACGGTACCCAGAATGTCCGCATGCAAATTTTAACTTATAACCCTGAATTAATGCTTTATCACACCACTTTGGCATTCGTTTTAATTACCCAGAAAGATACCTTAATTGATCAATACTAAAAGTATTTGTTAATTTGTTCCAATGCTTTCACCCTACGCTTTAAAGCCATTAGTTTTCGTGTATCCATCCTTTTCATTATTATTTTTGATTTTTCACTTTTTTAATACAGTTGTTCGAATTTTTTACATTCTTTGAGTTCAGCAATTTTGGTGTTATCATTAGAAGCATGTCCTTTTCTAAGCTGAAATACTTGCTTCTTTGTCAAAGAATTTTCTTCAGTACATGTATTAACGATAGTTGGCGCTGCTGAAATATTTCTTTCTTCTTGAAGATAATTTTTGTTTTCTTCACTACTTTTATGAACAGCATCTACAGATTTCTGTACAGAAATCATTATGTTTTGCTCCTTTACAGGTATGTGCCTTTCATGAAATGTATTGATTGAAACAAATTCTTGATCTTGACATTTGTGTGTAGGTACTGAAGAATAATTTCTCATGCAGCATGTTGCGACACTAGTTTTCTCAGAGCAACTTCTATATCTATTAAATATTGTAATAAGTATAAGACATGCTACATATCATTATTTACAAATGTTATTAATTTTTATTATTTCTTATTACAAAAAGTATTAGTACAGTAAACTAAATAAAGTAACAACACGAGCTTTCTCTCTTTTTCTTTAATATAATTTATAATATTTTCATTAATTGTTTTAAAATTAGAGATTGTATAAATTAATTTTACCTGTTTCCGGTTTTTTTCTGTTGATTCGGTATCTGAATGTCAAGCTCACCAAAAATTGTTGTGATTGCATTTGATCTTAACTTCTTGGTTCCATCTACTCGTACCTTTTCAAATGCATCAACTCCAAAATGATACTGAAAATAATCCAATGATTTGTTTTGTTTTTGTATACGTTCCATAAGAATTGTTAAGCTTTAGCACTTAACAAGTAACATCGATCAGTTTGTAGCTAAAATCCGAATAGAAGATTTCTCTTATTTAATTAAGTTAACACAAATTACACACCTCACACAATGCCGAATATTTATTTGGGAGCCAGTTTTGTCGTCTAACATTGGCTACCCAAACTGCTCTTCTGACTGGATCCGAAGGAAAAAAACACATTTTTACTCCCTTCTTACTTGAGTTGGTACAATTTTCCGCTACACAACCCGTCATCTAATCGGAAAATAATATATAAATAATAAGACAAAATAATAATAAGTCCGTGTGAAAAAGTTAACCTCATTTGTATCAAGTTTTATGTAGCGCACGTTCGGTTAAGGTGCCATTTCATGCAGCGAAGCTTCGCTGGCAAAGACCCCCCACTCCGTCAATTCGTGCGAAAATCTTTAGCGAGCGAAGCTTTGTCGTCTGCTTGATCGACGAGTCTAAAATGCCCGTTTCCTCCAACGCGGTTCAAAATTTGAACCGAATTTAAACTCCGATCAATGACATTTTGCGTTCCACCAACTTTTTAAAAGAAGTTCAAAGCGATTGAACGGAGTTCATCGTGAACGGTCATTTTTGGCCGGTTAACGAATTTAAACGTCGTTCAAGCAGAAGCTAACATGAAAAATTAATATTTTAAGGTTAATGTGCAATGTCTTCTTCATATAGTATATACAAAAAAACGTAATGGCATATTATAATATTTTATCGTCATCTGACGACGACGAAGATATAATCCGGTAAACACATTTATAATATTATATATGTTTATGAATGTTTATACTTGATATTTATATATATTCGTATATGAAAAATTTTTTACCGGGATATGTCGACAGAAGACCCAGAAGATTTAAACGACGCATGAACTATTTTGATGATTTGGACGACATTGAATTTAAAATGAGATTTCGCCTAAACAAAAATAGCATTCTTCTAATATTAAATCACATAGAAGAAGCATTAATATTTCGATCAAACAGGTATGTATATCTTTTTTATTATCCTTATGTCACTTATTGTCATTTATATTAAAAACTGATTAATATAAATATTTACTTTTTCAGAAATAATCCTATAACTCCAATGCAACAACTTCTCTTAACACTCAGATTTTATGCAACAGGATCTTTTATAATATCTGCAGGTGATTTTGCTGGAGTTAGCACTACTAGTGCTCACAGAATTATTCATCGTGTTACGAACGCAATTGCCAGACTTCGACCACGTTTTGTACAATTTCCTACTAGAAATAATGAAATAAAGAAACAACAATTGGAATTTTATAAAATTTCTCGATTTCCTAGAGTTATAGGTTGTATAGATTGTACACATGTTCGTGTTCAATCATTTGGTAAACACATAATTTTATTTATAGTTTTATCATACATACCTATTTTAGCAACCGATATATATAGAAATACTAGAAATAATTATAAGGTTTTAAACTTGTTTTATTTATTGTATTGTAGGTACTGAAAATGCAGAACTATTTAGAAATAGGAAAGGATATTTTTCTTTAAACGTGCAAGTTGTGACAAATAGTAATTTAGAAATTACTGACATAGTAGCTCGATGGCCTGGATCAACACACGATAGTACTATTTTTAATAATAGTCGATTGCGTGGTACATTTGAACAAGGAATGTATAGGGATGGACTGTTATTAGGTGATAGTGGTTACCCTATAAAATCATATTTAATGACACCATTATTAAATCCACGAACTCCTGCTGAACAACTTTACAATGAATCGCATATACGTACTCGAAACATAATTGAGCGGCTCTTTGGAATTTGGAAAAGACGTTTTCCAGTTTTAGCTTTAGGATTACGTTTACGATTGAACTCAGTAATGGCTGTAATAATAGCTACTGCTGTTTTACACAATGTTGCTCGTCAAAATGGAGATGAAGAACCACTCGAAGATCCTAACTTAAATCTTCCAGCACCTTGGGAAGAAATATTTAATTATGGCAATATAAATCCTGATAATGTAGACTACAGAAATAATGACAATGCAGCTGACAGAAGAATACTTATTAACGACTATTTTCATAGGTAAAGAAAAATAATACAATGTATATAAATTTTACTTATATAAATTATTAAAGCAATATATTAATAATTACACTTCTGTTTGTATTACAGTTTATTGTAAATTTCGACAAAGAAAATGAAGAAGAAAATCTGCTGAAACAAAGTACTATTTTAAATACGTATTTATATTATTTTAATATTAATTAATTCAATATAAATAAATGTATTGTATTTCTTGAAAACGTAACGTATTGTGCTTTTCTCATATAAAATATTAATGATAATATACTTAATTTTATTAAACTTATATTTATTTTATGGAGCAAACTATTCATATAAACTGTGTATCAATGGTCACATTCAGCAGACTCAACTGTTGCGGAGCAGATCCGTGAGCGCTCACTACTATATTGGTACATTTTCTTTTAGATCATCCAATAGCAGTGAGCATTCAGCCGTTCACGGATCCGCTCCGCAACAGTTGAGTCTGCTGAACGCGACCAATAACAAAATAAAGTAATATTTATGTTAAATAAATAAACTTATTTAATAATCACAGCTCTTTAGCGTAACAAAAATCGAAATTATTTGGCAGTAACTACGTATATATGAGACTATAAATGTAGCGAGAGTTTATCCTTGCATTTAAATGCAAGTAAGTGTAAAATATTATTCTACTCATAATCTCATATATACATTTAAAAAATAATCTTTTTCTAAAATTCATCAGGAGTAATACTTTTGATTTTTTTAGAAAACTTATGATAATAATAATAATAATAGTATGTATTAATAATAGTGATAATAATGAATAATAGTGAATGAATAATTTTAGAATTTCCTTCGAAGTTTTTCGAATTTCTTTCGAGTTTTAAGATAATTAGCAAATAAATTTCGTTTTAATTTTTAAAAATAATATAAAATCTTCTGATTTTTTTACTTATGCAAAGAAAAAGTAAAATATATATGCATATTAGGTTTATAACACGTTTTTTAATTTTAGTAGTTCCTTTTCTAAAATCAATTTCTTCAATTCTAATTCCTTTTGCATTATTTCAGCTTGCAATTTTTCTTTTTGCAATAGTGTTTCTAAAATTTTAATTTCAAATTCATGTTTTTCTTTCCCATTACTTATCATTAAATTTATTAATTCTGTTTTACTATCTGCCAATGTATCACATTTCTTATTATTAAAATTATTTTTATGTTTTAACTGATTACTTGTTTTGTTTACGGTTTTTTTAATTGCTGATGGCATAATATTTTCTTTTGATTTTTTATTTTGATTAGTACTAGCTGAATAATCCATAGATGGCATAGATTCATTTGTGTTCGTTGATGTTCTGAGTGGAGTGCTAATTTGTGTTCGTAATTTTTGGGGATTCCAATTTTTCCAATTTAATTTTTTTTTTTTAAGAAACTGTAAAATAACAATGAAATACAAAGGATTATAGCGCTCATATAATATTTTACACATGATTATAAATAATATTATTAATTACATTTAATACATCTTCCTCCTTATCAGATTCATCATTGTCTTTTCTACCGCCATCAGCCTCATCATCTATATCATCTTCGGGTATTTCTATAACATTTTCACTTGGTTCGTACAGCCATTCTTCATCAAATGCTTCATTTTTGTCAACATTGTCTGTAAAGTATAAATAAAATAACATCACAACAAAATGCATTAGGAGAAATAATTTAATTACATTTAATTGTAAGATTATTAAATGAAAAATGTTTTATGGCATTAATTATAAACATTACAAAAATAAAAGATAATAATGTAAATACATACTATCAAATCCTGCAATGCAATCACTATCTAAATTATTCGATAGACCTTCTACTGCCGGTCTTATTATTTCCCGAACTTGTTCAGCTATTGGATCACTTACAGCCTTATATTGTCCTCCACCTACAAAAGTAAACAGCTTTTTTATTACAGATATTTGATTCAATTCAACGTACATTATTTATTTTTGTAAAGTTTAAATACATATATCAAACAAGTAATAACCTGTTTTATAAATTTCCTGTTTTTCCTCAGCAAATTGTTTTTTTGTTCTTTTCTTTATATTTTCCCAACATGTTTTTAGAGACTGTACAGTTCGTACAACTCCATTAGAACGAGACATAAAATTTATTTGCAAATTCTCCCAACAATCTTCTTTTTCTTTCATAGAAATACTATTTGTTGTTTTATTTTCTAATATTTTGCATCTTTCTTGTATTAATTCAATAAGAAGCATTTTTTCAGATTCACTAAAATTTTTGGTTCTTTCTTTTTTATTTGCTTGGTCCATTTGTACATATATAAATATATTTTTATAAAGAGAACCAACTCTAAACACAGAAAAGAAACAATTTAATTTATTTAAATGCAAGAGATTATATAATATTTATATTATAAGTTAGGTTAAGAAATTACTTCTGGAAATTGTTCCTTTTGCTTCTCGTGTATATTCGTGTTTATATATCCCAATATTGTTAAGAATAATTATATTGATCTATATATATCAGCAACAATTAATATATCACAATAAAAGTTTGTTGTAAAAATAAACGATTGATTTGTACGACTTATAATTAGGTTAGATTTTAGTTATGATATGTATCCTCACACACTGCTTAGCTGTCCACCAATCACATCATTTGTTACTAAATACAATTTGAGTTAGCAAGCATTAGGTGTACGTTCAGTTGATCGGAACGAAGGTAAAGTTGAAGGAAAGCAAAACAAGTTGATCGAAGATTAAACTCCGTTCAAAGTTGAACGTAGTTCACAAGAACTCTGAACTGAACCACTTTGGAGGAAACGGGCATAAGGGTGCTGTCCCATGATACGGAAATTATACCGGAACGGAACAGTGAGACCAATCAGAGCTCTGCAATCATTACTCAACTTTCCTTTCTGCGATTGTGATTGGTCTCACTGTTCCGTTCCGGTGTAATTTCCATATCATGGGACAGCACCCTAAGAGTACACTGTTTTCCGACCTCGAAAAGAGTACATGTACTCTTTAAAGAGTACGGTTGGTAACCCTAGACTAAATGCAGGCTGTCTTCCCATAGTCCCTTTGCCAGTCAGTAAAATAATATTACTAGGGTGACGTCATCGTACTGACTGGAGAAGTGTTCCCATTCTCGCCAGTAAAAAGTGACGTCAGGATTTGTTGCGTTTCTATGCCCTATGCTTTCTACAGTTTTCGTTTCATATTACAGTTTGATTTCATATTTTTGTCATCAGTGATCTTCATTGAATAGGTAAGTAAATAATATATATTCCATGTAGCAATGTTTACTTGCAACTCTGTAATATTTCGGTACCCATGTCTTAAAATAATTGACTCCGGCGACTAAAGAGGTTAGACAACGATTTCGTTCCGGTACCAAAATATTACAGAGTTGCAAGTAAACATTGCTACATGGAATATATTGTAAACGCTGGGCCGAGAAAAAATGTCGGACGCTCGACGCGATGTCGGGACTCGAACCGAGGACCTCGTTGAGTTCGTAACACAAAGCCACCGCCTTGCCGTGGAGCCACACAGCCCGACACGTAGATCTTTAGTTGATATCTTACAATATATTATTTACTTATCTATTCAATGAAGATCACTGATGACGAAAATATGAAATGAAACTGTAATATGAAACGAAAACTGTAGGAAGCGTAGGGCATAGAAACGCAACAAATCCTGACGTCACTTTTTACTGGAGAGAATGGGAACACTTCTCCAGTCAGTAGGATGACGTCATCCTAGTAATATTATTTTACTGACTGGCAAAGGGACTATGGGAAGACAGCCGCAATCAATCAGTGGAAAAAAAAATTTTCAGGAACTTAATTACATAAATACAGTACAACTGTTACAGAATAAAGAGGTTATAAAATTCATTGTTCGATACTAAATTGCATTTGCATAAAGACTTTCATTACTATTTGATTATGATTTGACCAAATTTCAATGATTGATCAAAATGAAATATGATCCCAACATTCGATCCATATTTCTACTGAACATACTTATTTATTTCTATCGTTATCTTCTATTAATGGAATATTCCAATTTTCCTCCAATGGTTTTTTTCAGAATTTGGCTAAACTTAATAATTTTATACTTGTCGAAACCTTTATTTAATAAATTATAATATTTAATAATTTTACATTTCATCTTTTAAGAAATTTATTTCTTTTCACCGATTAGACATGTTAACAATTTTAAATTCCCGCCTTCAAAACCCGGGATTTCTGATTGGCCGCCCCTTCCCCAAAATGCGTATTGCTATACCTTACTTTATACCATGCTCCAGACATAGTTGTGTTTCTCTCTTTCACAGTGAGCGGTGGGGGATCAATCAGCTTGAGCGTATTGCGTAATGTCACAACTTTGGTTTGTGTGCTGAGAGGTTATAAATTCGAGTGTGTTTTGCAAAGATATAATATTTTTTAATTATTATTCGAAAATAGAAATACAGTAACAGTTTACGCTGAAGGTTAATTTTTTGAAAATATGTAAATTATAATAAAATAAATTCTATAGAAGTATTAAATGACCTACTCAGAGGTGTACAATTTTTACTGTTTTGTATGAGAAAATAAAGATT